GTGTAACACTCAAAAAAATAGTTGACGAACAAAACAATCAGTCGCTTGATTTTCATCAGGTAAATTATTTCACGTGTAAACAATGCAATCGATAAGTGCGTATCATGCGTTTAAATTGATCAGAGTCATAACGTCGTATACGTATTCTGTTTATTCAATAGTTAACCGAGGAATACCCAGATATGTTAACCCCTGAGAATATTGGATAATTGGGATCATGCAGGATCCATCTACTCTTTGGTTTTCTATTACGACGTATATGCAATATTGGACACATTTATACGAAACAATGAGCATGTAAAGCACATGCAGTATAGTGACTTTGATGAAATTAAAGAGATCAGATCTGGCAGTTACAGATCAGTTTATATACCACCTGGAATCCTAGGAATCCATTGGTGAGATGACCTGAACTATTTTTCTTATCAGGCTCAATTTCTGAAACCACTTATTTAATTGCTAGACATCCCTTGTGTCAACTACATCTTTCCAATTCTTATTCTGGTAGTATAAGTAGTAGTAGCATTGTGCATAGGTTTCACCAAATTAAAATGGCTCTATTACTATAATGATCACTCCATGACCTGAAGTCTGTTCATGACCAACAAGTTGCACTGTTGGTAACCCACAAACACCAATATACATTGTATTTAATCTCATCTACTGTTGCCATCCTGTTAAGAGACTGAGCCCATGACACAAATAATCCTATGCCATCATTATCTGGAAGATTGATCACATCCAAAGCAAAGTATATGCTAAAGATACAAGATCATCAACTTAAACTAGAGTCCTTTCTATTTTCATCATTCCTTCAGCAAGCACCATTAGAACTTCATTCATAAATGCTGCCATTCCTGTAATAGTAACAGTACCATATACCAGGTTCTTCTTCAATTGCAAATGCTGGGGTGGCTGATGCCCAATCAATTAAGATAACATCCACAGGTTTCTCATCTATAATTTCATGTGTGAGGTCAATTGCACTATCACCACCATAATTATAATTGAAACATGAGGCACTGATACAATTCATTGGTGAAACATCATTGTGAACTATATCAAGCTGATGCACTTTGGCAAGTGTATTAGTATCTAGAAGTAATGCACCAACTTGCTATTGTACAATAAGATGTTTGAGGACACCTGCTTCTCATTTGGCTACTCCTTCTTGTTGTTCAACTTTCACTGCACATGTGGAATCAGCAAATGACTCCAGGAAGACAATGTAAGACTGTCCAATACCAATTCTCTTATTGATTGTGACTGAGACTTCAATGTGTGCAGTTAATACTGGCATCTTGAAAGGTGGTGGTGGGAACATATCAAAGAGTGAGGTATAAGGTAGCAGCAGCACAAAACTGCAAACTATTACTATGCCTTTTTTGATAATGGAGTGCTCCAGTGAGCAGCTCAGCAGTTTCAAAATTCCATTGATACATGGGAGAGATTTTGATTTGCACAGTTCTATTATTGATCACACAACCTTCACAAATCCACCACTGTAGTACATCAGTTCCAAAACTATAATAGCTAACACAGTTGTTTACAGGCATGGTTTGACTCAAGCCTGCTAACTCAAAAAATTGTTTAGCATAGTTGTAGTTCTGGATAGCACATTCCATTGCCTTCTCTGCCAGGTCCTTTTCAACTTCATGTGTATAAGTAAGACTGTGAGGTAATGATGCCTTCGTTTTGAGCCATGCTGAAATTTCTGAGTGAAATTGTTCATCATAAGTGTGGAGGTTGTCGTGACGTTACACGTGGGAGAGCGATCGTGTAACCGCCTTGAGATTTAGCGTCTTCCAACGGCTGTTATCGGCAACGCCTACTAATACTAATTCTTCTGAACAGTTAGTGACCTTTTAACAGGCTAATACTTACGAATAATTCGCATCGTATACGCTAATCCGTTGATATCTATTTAACCTCGAGTAATTATCTACGATTATGATCCGATGGGATTAAGTTTTGGAATCTATCGTTTGGAAAAGGTTTTCTAAACTAACGCGTTTATAGACAATTAAATAAATATCCTGCACAACCGATATAACATGCGAACTCAGGGGCAAGACTAAGTCGCAGCTGAGAGTCCGGATAGCGGTTTTCGCCACTCTCAGAATCGATGAATTCAATAGAAC